CTCCAAAAAGGGTGGGTACTCTGAACTGATATTTGGCCCATAAGCACAAACAACAGTCAGGACCCGTTCCCCGACCCGAAGGCGCAAGGAAGCTACCCTCTTGTCCCCCGGGGTAAACCCCAACACACAGGCAGAGAGTCTCGGGGCTAACAAAAAGCCAACCCCAGCCCTCCGCCTCTCACCCGGAGCAACTCCAGCAAAGTAGAGTGTCCAACCCCTCTCCAGGTCTCGGGTTCCAGAGCCAATGCAATGTGTCGAGGTGAGTCCGACTATATCTAGCCGGTACCGCTCAACCTCTGCCACAAGCTCCGGCTCCTTCCCTGCCAGCGAGGTGATGTTCCATGTCCCAAAAACTAGTTTTCTTGTCCGGGGATTGGACCGCCTAGGCTCCCTCCTTGGTCTGCCACCCGATTCGCATTGCACCGGACCCTTCATGTTCCTCCTGCGGGTGGTGGGTCCACAGTTGGACGAGCCCATGTATCCGGTTCGGGCTGGGCCCGGCCGGGCCCCATGGGCGAAAGCCCGGCCACCAGGCGCTCGCTCACGGGCCCCAACCCCAGGCCTGGCTCCAGGGTGGGACCCCGGTAACCCTCCGGGCCGGGTACTCCGACTCTTCGTTTTAACCGCCATGAAAGATCACTGCTATGTGAATTTAGGAAACACAAAATTGCTATTACTCAGTCACTTTGACAGATATTTGTCACGGTAGCCGAAAGTCACCCACAACAACCCACTAGTGCTGTCAGATTGTGCATAATATTATTTCCATGTTTTGACAAAAAAAACTTTATTTCCATCATTTTCCCGCAAAAGGTGAAGAAAATATCAATGGAGGAAGCCTCCTGTAATTCTGCCTCTCTACATTCTCCATTTCATGCTCCCCTTCAAATCGACCCTCAGCATCTTAAAGAATGTCATCGTTAAGAACTGCTGTAAAATCTGGTCCCAACTTATTCAACATGCTAAGATCCAAGGTAGACCCTTACACTCACCATTTACGCTTTTTCCCTGCATCACTTACAGACGAACATGATCGCTGGTATCAGTGAAAGACTTTTTCATATACGGTGCCCTGGCCTCATTCGCCCAACTATCTTTTAAGTTCAGCCTACCTAGTTCACACTTTATTAGAAATATTCAGGCTAGGGACTTTATTACCAGGCATTTCTTAGGCCCTGTCCACACGTAGCCGGGATCTGCCAAAACGTAGATATTTTTCTACGTTTTGGCCTGTCATCCACACGAAAACTGAGTTTTTTCACGCGAAAACAGATCTTTTTAAAAACTCCGGCCAAAGTGAAGATCTGCATTTTCTCCGTTTTGGGTGTCTGTGTGTGGACAGACAAAACCAGAGTTTTAAGGACTGCAACGTCACTTTCCGCGACAAGAAAATGCTGACATCACGTGTGCGGCTTGTGTTTACACTAGCCGACAGCATGGATGCCCTCAGAGCTGTGCTCGCTTTATCAATTGTCCAAGCGCTTTTTACTTGTTTGTTTTTGCAAGCGGAATTACTGCTCCTTGTGGAAGACCACAGACGAAGGACGAGGTTAAGAACGGGGGAAGTACTGCCGCCTACAGGCCTGGCATGTCCTTAACAACGTATTTATCCGGGTACGTGTGGACAGAGTTTCTTTTTAAAACGAGGTGGTGTGGATGCAAGTTTTTGGAGGGGCGGATATTCGTTTAAAAAAAAACCCGGCTACGTGTGGACTAGGCCTTAGTTTCTTCCAATGCACCTGAAAAAAAACCCTGATCAATACAGTATGACAAGTAAGCCTTCCAAGAAAAGTCCTGTTTCAAGCATTTCTAACCTATTTATGTATGGTTCACTTTAACAATAGACCACCTTTGTACCACTTGTTTTCTGGAAATTGGGGTAGATATAAGCAGTGATCAATGGTGATTTATTTTTCAAAATACCCATTTTTCATGAATCAGAGCTACGCACGGCATCCTCCAACGTAAGGTGGTACATATAGGTGCACTGGTCTAGAAGCAGGCTGACTCAGACCTTCCTTGGTACAGATCCTAATTGTTTAATGTGTAATCCTGGTCCAGCCAACCTTACACATATGTTTTTGACTATGACCCTATTTAATCAATAGGGGTGCTGCTTTAAGCACCCCTTAGTGTCTGTTTGTAGAACCAGAAGCAATGCAAAATGCTGTGCTTTTTTTTCATTACCTTAAACAGCTGATATGTATCCCTAGCCTTCCTTAGTGTCTACAGGAGTGATTCATCACAACAGAGCAGCCCCCCAGTCTGAAGTTGCAAGTGGAACGTCCTGGCTACAGGGGGCGATGGGGGCTGCATTATTGATCCAGCTCAAGAAAATTATTTAAAAATATGGAAAAATTGCATAGTATCCCTTTAACTCAATTCAGCCATCTCAGCTGTAAAAATCTTGCTATCTCCCTTACCTGTCTTGTTGGGTACCCTGCCCTCAGACTGGGGTTTTCTATCTCACTTTGCTGATTTGGTTGCATTTTTTACACTACTGGCCAGAAGAGTCATCTTAATGCATTGAAAGGACCCCCATCCCTCCACCCACTCACAGTGGAATAAAGACATTCTTTATTTTATAAAGTTGGAAAAGATTAAGTACTCTCTTAGATGTTTGGACACTGGCTTTTGTAAAATATCTGAAAATTTGGATGTGACCCTTTGACACCTGTATGTTGTTTATGACTTTTATGTATGTGACAAAAAGCCATACTTTACCAACTCTAACCATGATACTATTTGTACTTATTACTTTGAAGCACATATTTCCTTTAGTTAGATTTTCTTTTGCTATATGGTTACGTAAAATGGTTCAAAAACTATAAATAAATCATACCAAAAAAAAGGTGAGAACTCAAGCATGACAGGCGGCAGGCAATATGCACTACCAGAGAAAACACCACAGACATTTAACACCACGAAAGACGAATAAAAGCTTTAATATTTTGGAGCATCATATTATAATGTGATATAATAATAGTGTAAATTTAGAAATGATACACATTTATCATTTTTATTATTATAATTTAAGATAATACTGTTTTTCAATTATTAACCAAACATCCCCTGTATCCAAAGGGGTTTGAATGAAGGCAACTGGACTTCTTTGGTTTCTTGAAGATATTCTATTTCTCATCAGGAGCTTTGTCAATTCTGACTGGAATATGAGAGGGTCAAGCTTATAAACTGTAGCTGTCTGTTGTTGCTTAATGAGCAGAAACTATCCATTAATACCCCCCATCCCTACCCGCCGATAAGTTGTTGATGTCATTGGGTCCTATTGTGTCGGAATGGTTGTTTTGGTTAGATCCTCGTTATCGTTTGAAATTTTGTATTTTAGGAACTTTATTTTCAGATTCGTAAAACTTTATAAAGTTTAGCTCAGCAACTGTTAAGAAATGGGAAACCAGGACAAAATGTGCCCAACTGAGCGTCTGGCCTGCCAGTAAAATAGTTAGTATTTGAAGTAAGCTCTGCTTTTTGCTTTCTTGAAAATCAGACTTCAGCTAAAAGTATTCATAAAAAGTTAACACTTTCGAGTTTATAAAATATGGAACACTGGTGTAGTTTGCAATAGCTAACCTTAGACACTGGTTTGTTGTTTTTAGCTCCTTCCTAAACTCTCCAGTGATGGTGCAGTATAGATCTACCCGTGCACTGAGAAATCCCTGGGTCATCACAGAGATAACTGAACATTCTTAACTTATATAAACAATGAAGTTAACTATGTAAAAGTTGTGATATTGGAAGCAAAATACAAAGCCGGGGCCAATCAGTTTCCCACTCAGAAAAAATATAAACCTTAGAGAAACATGCAAATTCCATTTCCAGCTTGAAACCCCCAAAGAAAATCATTTGCTGTTGCTTGTCACATCTGTTAAGATATCATGGTATGAGCTATATGCTCAATCTGCAGGGAAAATTTTGTTTTACTAATTCCACCATCCCACAGCAAGGCCCATTTATTCATTTATATTTCATGACTTAGTGTTTACGCTACAGTGAAAGCCTGACTGTTTTTTTTCTCCGTCCTTCCTCTTTCCACTTCTCGGGCCGGTGAGGTGTTCTCCTCCTACGTTGCAATGAAATATAGATGTTAAGAGTCTGGAGAGTTGAGTGTCTCATCTGTCCCGGTGATACCATAAGGCAGCCATTAATAGTGTCACAGAGCATCAGACGTACCACAGGCACATAATTGGATATGAGGACATAACTGAAAGCTCCTGCTCGAAAATCAACAGGACCTTCCCAGGAGGCAGACCCTTAGTAGATTCCCAAAGACATTTCCAAAGCCCATCCACTTCCCTGCTGCTTTTGCCTTCCCTATTGCTCTTTTTCTTTCTCTCTCAGGTCAGTTCAAGATGGCTTTTTGTTGTTGTCCCCCCCTCCCCCTTACGATAGCTTTGTGAGTATGCAAATACTTTGGATCTTTGCATAACCACAAGCAGCAGGACCATCTGTTGGCTTGTTGACTTACCTTGTGCCTGCTTTTTAATGGTGTTTTCTTGTGTCTGAATGATGTATTGGTGTATTAACAATGTGATAATCATTTAACCTCAAAAACTGCGATCGGGCGTATGTGCAACCGTCTGAACATATGTTCGGTGAAATCATCTGACAAAGGATTTATAATCCCCACATAGGGATGGAAATGAGAGGTACTGGGAATCGAATCAACAAGAAAGAAAGCATTATGCTTATCTCTGGGATGGTGCATGGGTCACGTGGAGATAGAGTGGTCCCAGTTCACACTTCAAGTTATCCTCATATTATTCGGCTCACATGATCCTCGGTAAGATGATGTTGCAAAGATAAAGATTTAAATTGTCAACAAAAGCAGCTCGTCTAAGATTATTGGGAGGCAAAAAGAGTCACTTATAACCCATAACTTAACAAATACTGCAGTAACCACAAAATAAGCTGAAACTTATCCTGGTAAAGATTTATGGGGACATAAAAAAAACAATGTTCCTAATAATGTGTTTTTCTTGCAGAACCCAAGCCAGACACCAGAGAAGTCTTTCAACTCCCCACCACCCATCTGTCCTCATAAGGTAAGCTCCAGCTTGATTTCAAGGCAAAACATGCAAATAATTCATTATCCCTGAATTTATATATATATATATATATATATATATATATATATATATATATATATATATATATATATATATATATATATATATATATATATATTACGTCCTGGCTATGCTGGGAAGGTAAGGAGGTAACATAAACCTGTGACCAGATGGAATGGGAGTACATGCATTTAATAAAGAAAAACAGCAGATAAATAAACTTACAATTTACAGATAAATACTAACAGAGAAAAACCTTACCAAACAAACAGGGCATTCACAATACTAACTTAACACTCTTATAGCTGTGAATATACCAGACAAAAAACACAGGCTCAGAAGGACATCCACTGAAAGAGGGCAATAGCATTTGCTATCCCTAAATCCAACCAGAGGAGCTTTAACTCTACACAAACCACCTTTAGGTCTAAACAACAATATCTCACAAGTAATCCTCCACAGTAGTTTAACAGCACTAAGTTCCAACAAAGGTGACCAAGTGGGGGAAACAGCACACCATCAGCTGCTCCCCATCAGGATCAGGAAGTCTCTTATATGCCACCCAGCAGCTGATTGCTGGATGACTCCCAGCTGGTCCCAGGTGATTGTTGGATGATTCCCATCTGATCCCAGGTGATGGGCAGTGGAACCAGGAACAAAGCCAATTGAATCCCCTGGGATGCAGGCTGAAGAATATGGAGAGCTGGGCTGTACACTCAGGCCTAGTCCACACGTAGCCGGATTAAAAAAAAAACGAATATCCGTCCTTCCAAAAACTTGCATTCACACCACCTCGTTTTAAAACAAAAAACTGTCCACACGTACCCGGATAAATACGTTGTTAAGGACATGCCAGACCTGTAGGCGGCAGTACTTCCCCCGTTCTTAACCTCGTCCTTCGTCTGTGGTCTTCCGCAAGGAGCAGTAATTCCGCTTGCAAAAAACAAACAAGCAAAAAGCTCTTGGACAATTGATAAAGCGAGCGCAGCTCTGAGGGCATCCATGCTGTCAGCTAGTGTAAACACAAGTCGCACACGTGATGTCAGCATATTTTTTTTTTGTCGCGGAAAGTGACGTTGCGGACCTTAAAACTCCGGTTCTGTCTGTCCACATGCAGACACCCAAAACGGAGAAAACGCAGATCTTCACTTTGGCCAGAGTTTTAAAAAAGATCAGTTTTCGTGTGGATGACAGGCCAAAACGTAGAAAAATATCTACGTTTTGGCAGATCCCCGGCTACGTGTGGACAGGGCCTCAGACGAATAACAAAACAAAACTAAGTACAGAGACTTTTCTAGAGGCATGAAACCAAGGATCGTAACAATATATATATATATATATATAAATTAGATCTGTCTCATGTGAAGACTTTTCATCTTCTCATGTATCTGATGATCTGCACCTCAATCAGTGTGCCATTCTTTTAACAAGGATGCACAAATTAGTTTGTGCACCAGTGATTCAAAAAGAAATTGTTTTCAAAGATGACAATTTCTTTGGTGCTTCTGCTCCTCCTCTTTGCATTCTGTTAATTATTTAACGTGAGTCAAGAAGGGCAGATTTATTCAATGCTAATTAGTCCTTAACAGGCTCAGTCAAACTCGTTATTCCACTCTGATGGTCTCAAGTCATCTCAAAGCACTCGAGCAACTCTCCCCTTCAACCTTTACTCCTGGTGCACAACTCTTTGCTAAATGTGATAATGTGCTATACAGTGAAACTCAGACAAATTCAGTTCACTTAGCACCAAACATGTCAAAAACGCCTGTGTCCTTTTCTGGATGAATGGCTGTTGTGGTTGAGAGTGGCAGATTGCAAAAGTGGACCTTGGTAAAAGGAGCCCAATGGATTGAAGCTGTCTAACAGCCTGTCATCAAGCGCTCAGAGCCTAACACTACTCTACATCACTAATGCACAGCTAGCCCGGCTAAAATGGCTCTGGATACATTTACATCTGCAGTAAATAATACCAAAGCGCGATGGCCCTCACCGGGTGTGTCAGCGGAATGATATGGAGGACTATTAGCTTCAGTGTGATTAAGTCTTGTTTTGTTGCCTTTTTGTTACTGATGCCTTATCACAGTATCAATGTGCAGCTGGCAGCGTGAAACCAGGTATTCTCAGCCAAAACTAAGATTTTTCATTCGCTGTTTTCTTTTGTCATGTTGCCAAACTCATTTTATTGTGTATGTAGACCCAAACAAGAATCACATTGAAGCCAAATTTTAAACAAGTAAAAAAATATCAAACGAATTATCTGATTTCTTCATCTGTTACTTTAAAGTTAAAGTCCCATCAGTCATCACCACACACTGGTGAAATTGCATCTTCGTATTTGACCTATTCCCATGGGGAGTGGGGAGCTGCAGCAGTGGCTGCACTCAGGAACTATTTGGTGGTTTAACCCCCCAATCTAACCCCTTAAAGCTGAGTGTCAAGCAGGGAGGCATTGGGTCCTACTTTTCAAGTCTTTGGTATGACCCGACCAAGATTTAAAGCCCGATCTCTCAGTCCCAGGGTGGACACCACTAGGCCACTGAGAAGGTGATGCTGAGTCCAGAAAAAAATATCTGTATGTAAAAATAGGTACCATATTTTCCGAACTATAAGCTGCTACTTTTTCCCATGCTTTGAACGCGGCTTATAATGAGGTGCCCGGCTTTAAAAGGATGGATGCTGGAAAGGAGTGCTACAGAAAGCGCCCGAGAGGATTTTTTCACCGTAAAACGGTGCTGCTTGTATTCACCGCTTTACCCCGGGATGATGACAGCAACACGGAGAGCGACACTGACAGTTAAACTACGTTTTCAATTCAGTAGATATCTGCGGTTTATAGCCCGATGCGGCTTATATTGAGGTGCGCTCTAAAGTCCGTAAATTATGGTACTTTTGAATCACAGGGGATCAATTGACAGTCCTTGTTACCACTTGAAGACGTTGTGCTTTTTGGGGTTTTTGTTCTCACTGCTGGAAATGTGGCCATTTCCAGTAACTACATTTATCAGGTCCTTTTTGCTTCTGCTGGAACCTCTTTTTTGGCTCAGCGGGGACATTGATGAATGTAAGGTGTTGTGATGACTTCCTGCATGAGTGCACTTTGATATGCTGATTAAACCATTCTACAAAAATTAACCTAAAATTTACAATATCTAGTCCAACATTGGTGTCATCCATCATTTTTGTTGCTGATGGAGAAAGGTGTGTATGATTGGCCATCAACCAAGTGATACCAAATCACTTCCTTCTGCAAACACATAGATCTTTGGTGGGACTACCAGTTTCCACATCTGCCTAATTCAAAAGCATCCAATATTACCACAACTGAGTCATCTGTAGGACCTTGTTGAAATAGTGCAATCCTCTTCAAGCCTTTAACTTTACCGTTCCTTTATAGTAGAAATGGCCGGTTTCAGTGGTTTCAGTGAAACATAGTTGCAGCCAGAACCCTAGAGTGAATGGCTGTGTTATTGTGTCTGTCCACCACATTTCTGTCTCTCCATGCTGCCACCCAACTCATTCGCTTTCAAATAGTTGATCAGACCTAATGTAATGGGGAACACTGCAGGTTTGTGGATGGTGTTATTCATGTTTTAGCTGTTAGCAGCGGAACATAATCTCCCTCTAGTCAGCTCACATTAGTCTCCATGATTCGCACCAGCCCAATATGCGCAGCGAATGCAATGGGCCAGCTGGTGTAATTTAGTATGCCAGTCAGCTGAGGAGGCTGGTAAAATGAGTAAATGGCTGAACATGATTTATATGTAAAGAGTATTCTGATTATAATGGCCCGCAGAATAGAATATCCTCTTTCTTTTTAAACTTTTTTTTTCCCATCTGCATTGTGCCCCCCCCCCCCCCCCCCCCATAGACTGAAATGAACAGAGGGCTTTTAAACTGACTGCTCTATGATTATATTAAGAGTGCGAGAGAGCGAGGAAAGAGGAGGAGGGAGGAGATCTGATGCCCGAGCACTAAGTATATATAATTGCTTCTTGACACACTGGCCAAATTCTGCGGTGCCAGGATCTGAGTGAAGATGATTAACGGCTGTCCAAGTGGGTGGGCACTGCAGGTCGTTCAGGGCCTTTGGTTTCCATAGTGATACTAGTCTAAAGGCCATATATTGCATAGTGAATATCCCGAGGTCCACACATTGTTAAACTACAATTATAACTCACGTCAAGAGCATTGTCTGTCCACTGCACATTCTCGTATTTATCCAGCCAGCATTCTCCTTCTTTCATCCCCTTCTTCTTTTCTTTGTTCACCTCTGCTTTACTTAAATGGTCTGCTCTCGCTAGCGAGAAGATAAAGAGTGAAAATATCGCATTATGTGAATAATTGATGTGTGGGTTCACCTCCGAGCATCATTACAGGACGGTATTCAGAGTAAGAGGTGAAGGTAAGATCATATTTCTGACACGAGGCTTCTGGCGATAGAAATCGTGACAGTTTTTCACAAGGTTTTCCTTTCGGAGCTGTAGAATGCATTGATTCCAAGTGTTGCGCGACAGGAATGAAATAAAAACTTATTAGAAATGCAAACGTGCCTGAGTGTTTCTCCACAACTGTGGAATCCATTTTTCTTTAACACACAGGTGATAAAACACTGTGTTGTCCATGTGTGAATGCAGCAGGTTTTGTATTTGTGCTACATACAATAGCACATACACGATTAATGCATACGTAGATCTATGTAACACTATAATATAAACAAGTGACAGATGGAAAGTGTAAGGGGTGCACTCCTGACAATATGGGGCTTGCAATGCACCACGTTTCTGCCAAATTTGGAACATTTAAACCATGCAGTAATTATAGATTCTCCCACAAACAGATTCCTCTTGAGAAATGCTATTTGAATAAAAATGTTGCCAAACTGCTCAACAAACACCTTGCTGCTTGAAGAACTTCATCCCCCTAAGTTAAATGAATGTGAACTTGTTCGAGGTCATGGATAAAATGCTTAACCCATC